TTTTTTTTTGTACATATACCTACAGACTTTCTATTTTGCCTCCCCCACCTGTTGCTCGCTCAGTCTTCTCTAAACCGTTCATATTATTTACCGCGATCATCCTATTGAAAACCGTGCATATTACTTACCGCAATCATCCTATCTAAAACCGTTAATACTTTATTCTTTTTTTTTCCTTTTCTATAAGATAGATTCGAACAACTTACCATCGATTCATGAGCCAAACATCTTTGAGTTGAACCATACCGACTTATTAGTATGAAATTAAAATTTGATTATCAATCTGATTTAAATAAATCTTTGTCAAAATTAATAAAAGATATCAAATATAATTATTAAAAATAAATTTCTGTACAATATAAGCAATACTATTGAATAGTCATTTTCTATCAACATATAACCTTTAATTTTTTTTTCAAAGTCAAGATATTTTAACTATTCTAATTTAGAGCAAATATGTTTCATTGATCAAGAATTATTTTATATAATATTATTTCTATTTCTAATAAACTTTTTAGTTTTATTATATTTAATATAAGATATTTGAAAGAAGTAACGACATTTTTTTTTAAAATGTATATACATACATATACATATACACACGATAGACATATGTACAACGGTTTTGCAAAACGTTCAAACATTGAATAAAAAGACACACAATCCACATGTTATCTAGCGACCGTTTAATTCATTGTTTTATTTAGCTGTTTATTTTCTTTATATCTATCACATGCATGAAAATAAAACCAAACATATTCTATGATGCTATGCTACAGTTTATATTTCTATCTTGTATTCTATGCAATACGTTAATATAGTTCGAAGTTGTATAATGCTTTTATATTAACATTCATTTGTCTCTGCATTGAAACATATTCATAAAATTCTAGTTATATATTAATATTTCTTCTGATTGAACTATTTTAGATCTTCATCAATATAGCATCAATCATGTTACCAAAATCTCTTCAACGTACTGATAGTACGGGACAATTAAATGTATTTATATTATTGAAAAAGAAATCAAATAATGAATTACTAATTGTATCAAGAGAAGATTTACCACCAACACTTCGTACTGGACGATTACTATTGAATCAGAAAATAATTATTCGAGATGACGAACGAAATAGTATTGAAGGAGTAATTGTATACATTCGTATGTATAAAAAAGATTGTTGTTCATTATTATTATTTTATTTATTTTTTAATATATAGATGCTGATCGAGAAAATTGTGTTGCTTTTAAAAAGCAAATGTCAAACAATAGCATGCAACATACAAAGGAATTAAATGGAAGTATTAGTTCTTCCATTTCTGAAGTACCATCATCATCTTCACATACAGTTAATAGTTCTACACTATCAAATAATATTTCAAAAAAGACGTCTAAATTACCAGTTCGAGTGACACAGAAACCATCAAAACCTTCAACTGCAAATAAACAATCGGTTGAATCACATAGTAAACCATTATACAAATCTAATAATCAACAACACGATGATAGTATTAATTATGAAGCACGAAACGATATATGTGATTTATCATTTTCACCAACAACAAATCTTAATGAAAAACATAAATCCCAATCAACGTTTGCTAATACATGGGATACATCATTTACAATAACAGATGATTATGAAAGTGATATTTTGATTGACAAAATAAATCAACAAAGTGCACAGATCAATCGTTTAAAACAAATCATAAAGGAACGTGATATAGAAATTAAACGTTTACGTTCGACAACAATAGGTATATCATATTAATTTATTTGAAAATTTACATTATTTTCTTTTAGAATTACCAACTGAACAAGGTACTCGAGATTATATATGTTATATGGCTGATAAAACTCGACAAAACACAACTGAATACAAATACACGGGTAATTTATCAAAAGATGCTAAATGTTTAGGTATCAATGTTGTGCAACTGAATGAATGTCTGACTGCAAAAGCTTCAGTTACAACTATTGCCCGAAATATTTTCAAGAAAATTGTTCCGGAAAATAAGAGAACTGTGTCTTGTTGGGATGATCTACCAGAAGAGGTTCTTTTAAAAGAGCAAATGTTGATCAGTATGTATAATAAAAATTCTTCTTCCATTTCATATATCAAATGTGAATCTTATATATTTAGAGTTTTTGAACGATTATTTTGGTCCTCTTGAAGTGGATTCCAAAAAGGTGCATACTAGTCTTTGTGGTTGTCTTCGTAATGACCGTAGGAAGCAAAACAAGCTGAAACAACGAGCTGAAATAGTTCTTAATAATGATAAAGACTCTTCTCGTCAAGAAGAAATTAATTATGTTGATGATGACAACGAGGTCAATGATGATCTTGATGATAGTTGACAATAGATATTTGATTTAGATTATTTTTATGGAAAATAACTCATATTATTGTTATATATTGTAATTCTATTTTTTGTTACATTTCCATTTTTTTTATTATCTTTTTTGTTCAAGCGTATGTTATTTTTGCACTAACCTGTTTTATTTCTTTGCAAGAAAACGATATGATTAATAAAAATAAACTAGAATTGAACCAGATATAAATCGTAATACCTTTATTGTTCTTGCCTTAAAAGATGCCATCGTTTTCATATTTTTCAGGAAACATATTCAAGAAGATATAATATCATATGATTCTAGATATCTTTGCTAATTTATTTCTAAATCATCAGATAATCATTCTGGTATTTAAGGCGTGAGGTAAAGTATTATCATTCTCAAACTGTTTTTTTTTACAAGATAATGCACTTTTATAGTACGTTTCGTAAGAGTATAGAATGCATCGTGTAGACTCAATATCACACCTGTTGCTCTAAAAAAATAAGCTTTCTGTTATTTCAGATTTCAATGAGGCCAACAACAACATCACTCCAGAAAAAGCAAGCAGTTAAAAGAAAAAATCATGGACATTGGTTTACACATAAACACCAAATTAAAACAAAAAGAAACATGCGAACTCTTCAACTTGATCAATCACAAATATTGAGTTTCAATGAACATCACACAAGAATTTCTACAATTAATGATGGATCTGATTATCTGTCTGCAAATAAAATAACAGATGATTTAAACACAGAATTAGTTCATCACAATTTGGATGATGACTTTTTAAATGAATATGCTCATGAGGTGGATGACGATGGAATTGCATTTTATGATGCTTCAGATGATTTTCATTGTAATGAAGATGAAGAAATCAACGAAAAGAATGATGAAGGAGAAGACACTTTAACAGAAGAACAAATGAAATATGCAGATGAATTTATCAATATAGGAACATCATCGATACCAATTCGTCAATATGATGAATTAGTAAGTAACAAAGTTGTCTGCATAATATAAAATTGTGTTATCTATTTCAGGATATTTCAGTTATATTATTAATGATAAAGAAAAAACATAAATGTACAAATAGTTTAGTGAACGATATATTGAAATTATTAATAGCATTGAAGGTTCCACGTATTCCAACATCTTGGTACAAACTGAAAGCATTGATTCAACAAGCAGACAACACACATGAAGAAAAACAGCAAATGGTGAATCTTACTTTATATTTTTGTCCAGAATGTGAACAACAATCAACTGATCCAAATAAATGTACTAATGAAGATTGTTCATCTTACTTAAATTCATTAATTATTCCTCATACATTTATTATGTTAAATATCCAACAGCAAATTGAACAAGTTCTAAAATCAATCCATCAAACAGATCTTAATTTATCAACACAAACATCAAATGAATTTCCTACATCAATGAGTGATATTTATCATGGACGTGTTTATAAAAATATTATAAATTCACTCAAGAACGAATATCACAAGCTCTTTATGTCATTAACATGTAATATTGATGGTGCAGCAGTTTACACAAGTAGTGAGCAAACTATGTGGGCATTTACAGCTTGTTTGAACGAACTAAATCGATCAATACGTTTTAATATGGACAAAATTATAGGTAGAAATTATATAAAATATATAAACTATTGTCTGATATTTATTTCTTTAGTATTTGCAATAAGTGTAGGTCGTAAAAAACCTTCTAAAACAATTATGCAGAAGATGTTGATGCCTATTGTATCTAGTTTAAAGCAATTACAGAAATCTAGTTTATATCAAATTTCTGATTGTTCACATCAGATGTTACGTACTTATTTGATTGCTGTAAGCAATGATAAACCTGCTAATAGTCTAGTTCAGAATTTACCTGAGCCAAATGCTCTGTTTGGTTGTTCTAAATGTGAAATTGCTGGTAATTTGTTTTTTCTGTCTTCAACTAAAAAATTATCGTTCTATGCTCTTCTTTTTTTTCTAAGGAGAAACTACTCCAGCAAAAGTCTATGCAACACCAACTAAATCAGCAAAAATAAAAACAACTTACATTCGAATATTTCCAACATCAACAGGTCGACAACCAGAAATGCGATCGAATGCTAGATGGTATGATATTTCTCATGCTACACAAAATGGTATTCGCTTTTTCATAAATGATCACAAGTTACATACGTATGGTTACATGGGAGAATGTGAATTATGCGAATTAGCCTTTATTGATCGTGGTAGTAGTTTCATGAGTGATACTTTACATTCAGTCTATCATGGTGCATTTGTAAGTTTTATATTAAAAAAATTGCCTTTTAAAAGTATATCTCTTGTTTTCTGTTCGATTTAGAAAAAATTACTTCACTTATGGACAGAATCTTCTAAAAAGCAGCCATGGTCATTGACAAAAGCTTTACCATCGATTGCTGGAGATCTTGCAAAGATACTCTATCCTACAACGACAGTACGAGTACCAAGAACAATTACAAAGTTTTTGAAATTGAAAGCTAATGAATGTCGAGTATTATTATTGATCGGATATCCTGTCTTTAAAAATTACTTACCGGAATTATATTATAAACATTTACAAAAATTAGCATTTGGTATTAGCATTGGTGAATCTTCCAGTATTTCTTTGGAAAAGATAGAAGAAATGGAATTATTATTAAAAAGTTTTGTTGATGATTTTCCATATAACAAACGTTACATTGTTCAGACAGTTCATTGTGTTAAACATTTTGCTACAACAGCCAAAGATTTCGGACCTCTCTCAAATTATAGTACTTTTAATTATGAAAGCGTTATTGGTAAGAATATATGTAAACATAACTTGTTCTGTTTTGTTTTCAATTGTTTTTTATTTATGATTAGGATGTTTATCTTCATCAATACATGGTACTAAAAGAATTGGTACTGAATTATCAATTAATCTTGAATTATTTACAAAAGCTTATTATATATCAAAACATCACAGTTTATCTTCGGAACTAGAACCATTTATTGAATATGTGAAAACAGGGAAAATGCATCTTAATAAACAATTTCCTTCAAGCGAATTTATATCTACACAAGAATTAAATTCCTTATATAAATTCATTCCAAGAGAAAGTAACATAAAACTTATGAAATCAGGTAAGCATATTTTATCATCTTTGTGATTTACACATATTTGTTGACTTACAATATAAATATCAACTATCTTTTTCTATATACTTTCTACTTTTAGTCGTACGTAATGGTTTAGTTCTCTCAACATTCAAAAGTTCAAAATCAAGTACATTTACAAATGCTTGTATAGTTTATAAATATCAAAATTTTATAAAATATGGTATAATAGAAAATATTTTTCATATTACACCACAAGATTTATATGTATTAAAAGTACAGTTCCTTCAAGATACATACTATGATTCCATAGCTTTTAAATCCAAAACTTACGTCAATGAACATATAATATACGGTCGTATGTCAAACGATGTAGATGATTATCTATATATTACCGATGTTATTGAAAAAGGTTGTTTTTATGATAACGGCAACATATGTTATTTTGCTCGTTTTCCCAATTTATATGAATCATCATAACATTAATTTACAGTTTTTATTGATTTATATTTATCTCATTATCATTTTCTACTTTTATTCTTCAATAAATTGAACTATCATATTTTCTATATCATTTTTATAAAAAAAAGTATATATAACAATTGAATCTGTTGTCGACTCGATTTAATCCTTATTATCAATATAATTACTAATACTAATAAATAAAACTAGAAAGTTTATATTATAAATGCATTTTGATTAAGTTGCATAGCACAACTCAAACTTTAGATATAAAAAATATAATTTTTCTTGAGATGTTGTACATTTGAAAAGCTATGGAAGAATTGTATACAATCATATTACTTAGAAAAGATCTCCGTATGTTCCATCAATTAATACTATGCTGATAGGATTGAAGAACATAGTTTTGCATAATTTTATTCATGTTTCTTAGACTCTCCAAAAAGCAGCTTTAAATACCTCGGTGAACTTACATGCAACCGGCTCTTTCTTTGTCATGTATGCTTACCGAGATTAATATCGCGGTCTCAAATAACAAATGCGAGGTCTTCAAAGCTTGCGGTTTTAACCAATCGACAACATTGCGGTTTCTACGTAGGAAACTGCGGTTTATCAAGATTGCGGTAGACAAAACCGCGGTTATCTGCAACTTTTCAATCATGTCGCGGTTCACTTCGAGAAAACCGTAGTAGAAACGAATAGATCGCGGTTTTCAACGGTTTGACTGCAAAAATTTTCTCGTGGGAATAAGACAAATTTTTGATGAGGAATTGCTTTATTTAAACATGGACATTGGAGTGTAGCGGAATATATTCCTAAGGACTTATAAGTTGTTAACGATGGATTTTTTTCAATTATTGTCACAGTTTCACTATTTAATGATGTGAATAAACAAAGAATACAAATTGAACCTAGAATATTATCAACAAAGAAAGTGAATATGTTATTTATATAAAAATGAGATTTTATCGAAAACTGAAAAATGTTTCTGAACTCATCAAAGTAGTGTTTTTTTCCTAAATTACATGATAATTTATCTTTCCATGTAGTTAAAAACATAAAGTCTATCATTAAATATAATTAATTGTGACTGTTTTCGAATTCTAGGCCATCACTTATAAAAAAAACAATGACATAATAGCTTTACCAGTTAATAAAATCAAATAAACACGTGTGATAGTCTTTTGTTGTTTGATACTATTTTCTGTTCGATCATTAACATTCTTAAATAAGTTTAATCGTTTCATTGATTCAATAAATTTCAATATCTTTCCATTTTCATCTATTAGAAATCGAATAGAAATTCTCGACAATAAAATATTCTTTCTTTAATTAAAGATCTACCTGAATTTTCATTTCTCTCTCTTGAACAACATTTGATTTTCGATAGAATATCGATAGACCATGATGCAATAAGACGAAGTATTATAATTAGACCACCATAAAGACTAATGAAAAGAGTTATTCCATGAGATAATTCTGTTCGATTTTTTTTTGAATATGTACAGTTTGATGGAGAACATTGGTGAAAATATTTTGTATAATTAATTTTTGTTGACCAATTCATAATGAAAAGATTATTTAAATATTCATTAACAGATTTACTTTCATGCTTTGAAGTTAAAACTGAATCATTTACATGGAAATTCATCTAAATAGAATAAATATTTCAAACATAATCAATAATCGTTTACAAACTTGTTGACGAATTGGAAAGTAATCCAATAATAATTGAAGACATTCTGTCTGATATAAACAATCTAATGTACTTTCAAGAAGTGCTTCAAGAGGAGTACATCCTGTAAAGAATCCATTAACAATTGTAGAATTTGGCATCGGATTCAGTTTGTGCCTACGATCGACTTCGATTAATTCGTAGATCATTTCGCTGAGAGTAGCATTGACTTGTATTTTATCTTTACCGCATAGTTTAGGGTATGTATCAGGATCAACAGAGTACGATACTTGATCTGCAACTGTATGAATAGATTTATCCTTCGATCGTACTGTTTTAATTATAAAATTTGTATTCAGAGCTGAAACTAAATAATTTGTTTGAATTGTGTTTCTTGAATAATTTAAATAAGTTATCATTTGAGACGATGCAGCGTTCTTTAGTAAGTCAATTGTTCCATCTATTTGCAATTGTACTTGTTCTTGAGAAAGAAGATAAAGAGTAACAAGTTCATTATTATCAATATCAATCTCAGTTTGAGAAATAATTTCTTTTGAAAGTGAACAAAAACTCGATAAAAGTTCAAACTAAAGAAAGGAAAGAATAGAAAATGTTATTTCATTTGAAATTTGAATAAAACGATGATGAACTAATAAGTAATTTGCTTCAATTTTTGAATTTCTTTCATTCTGAGTAATCTTTAAAATAATGAAACTTCGAATTCTAGTACAATTTTACAGATGATTTCAACTATGGTATTGTCTGATATTAAATTATTTATATTAAAATCAAAAGTATATGAATGAGTAGAATATGATTTACAGATCTCAATTCTATACAACATAGACAAGCTTTTATTTTCTTTGAACTATATGAGTTATGCGAGATTGTATTCTAAGTATTTCGCTCTGAAATCTCTCATTTCTCACATAGTCACTTTTTTTTATGTGTGATAAAATATTTCAAATCTTCTGTAATGTTTATCTGTAAAGGTTTGAAAGAAGTTGTGGAGGAAGGTGTAAGCATGCATACTGAATGATGATAGATTAATATAATACTCATACCCACACATGCGTTGGAGAATTTGATTTTGCGACAAAATCAATATCTGTAGACATGCATAGTGTTGCGGTATAATTGATATAAGGCTTATATCACTTCTACTGCAACACAGCAATATTACTATGATCTGTTGTTAGAGATATTCACCTCACTTGAAAATCGACCGCCACCGCGCCACGCTCTCAGAGAAAAAAGCTAACGGAACGCTACCTCGATGGTGGATAAAATAAACATGCTACTGTCGCAGCCCTATCGCGATGCCTTTTGAAAAATCAACCTCTACTACGTCATCATCAACATCCCTACCTGTTATATTTGTCTTGAATTTAACAGAAAATATCGCTTTTATACAATTTTACCTCAAAATTAAATTCCCTATTAATTCTATCAACATCAAACTTTATCTTGAGGAACATTCTGGTGTTCTTCAATACATCGAACAACATCTTTTCATTCAAATAGTTGATGACAGGAAAACACACATTCAATTATTAATTTGAACTTACTTGTGAATGTGCTGTTGATCGAAAATCCCATACTCCATATTGACTTGCATTTGGAAAATATAATCCTTTGATCCATTCTGGTTCAATAAAAATACTCGAACAAACCGAATGCATTGTAACATTGTTCGAAGTAAAATTTCGATAAGGTATTGCTATTGTTGAACATGGGCATGAAAGAGTTTGATCATGCTCAAAATAAAGCTTCTTAAAAGTATCAGGCGTTATATTCGAGATCATAATTGTTTTAGATTCGGTTTTAATCAAAGTAACATAGAATAACATATAGAGACACACTAAAACAAAAGAAAATTGTCAGATGACTATTTTCTTTAAATAAGCAGCTAAATAACTTAGATTAAAATCTTTTTAGTTAGATAAACAACTTTATTTTTACAGCTAAATATGTATTTCATGATATCTCAACAAATTTAAGTTTTGTTTGGATTTGAGGGTGTCTGTTTGTGAGTGTGGGTATAACGTGAGCATAATATCCACACCAACACTCTACTTTCATCATCACATACAAATAATTCTTTGATGAACACAGTAATATGGTCGTTTTGGTCGAAACCAATTTTATTCACGCATACAAAGCACACACACAGCATATATCTAGATGTGGGTACCATGAAATATGATTCTACAAGGTCGAGAGATCATACATCTCTACATACAACGCTATATTGAGATATTCGGTGCAACATTTTTCACTTTAGAAGCCACAGATAGAGATGCGGAATATGCGACGCCTCCATAGGAAGATGCTGCTTCTTCCGCAGAATATGCATTTTCCGCACTGTTCCGAACTCAAATTCACGAAAATTTTTTTTCAACTCGGAGACAGGAGGTATTCTTAGGATCCTACCAATTTGCTTTCGATATCTCTTGGTTATAGCTGGTAAATCTGTATGCACATAAAGAAGAAGGCTTGTTAGCTTGTTCGCAATGCATTCGGTCCCTGTAATAGCTAACGTCATCAAACTATCCATGAACCTTCCCTAGGATCAATGGAAGGTCGAGAGAGAATTTGCGACACTGACAGAGGCCAAAAAGGAACTGCTTGGGTGAAATTTCACTATGACATTTCTGTGATAGCTACCGTTACCAAAATTGTCATAGTACTTCCTTACTTTCAGTGGAAGACCAAAAGGGGGTTGACGACACTAACCAAGGCTGAGGAGGAAGTACCTGGGCGAAATTTCACCCAGAGTGTCCTGTTGTGACTAACGCCGTTGTACCTTACAGGCTACTACCTTAATTCTAGCGGAAGACCGAGACGGGATTGACGCCACTGATGCAGACCCGAGAGATTGATAGGGATTGAGAAAGGGTGTCTGGGTGGAGTTTCACTGAGACAGTCCTGTTATGACTAGCGCCGCTAAACGTTTCGTAATACTTTCTGATCTCCGATGGAACATCGACACGGGGTTGGTGTCACTGATGGTGGCTCGCATAGATGCGTGAATACAAATACAACTTGTATCGATATTTTTCCCTACTACAATCACGACATACATCTCCTAACATGTATCGATATATCGATACATCCCCACACGTATTCACACATGTATTGATACATGTACCCATATATATACCCCCAGAAAACCTAGAATTTCAGAATTTCATGTATTCATGTATCAATACATGTACTGATGTGTCGATACATGTATTCATGTCTCGATACATGAAATTCTGAAATTCTAGGTTTTCTGGGGGTATATATATGGGTACATGTATCAATACATGTATTCATGTCTCGACAGTTGTATTGATGTATTGATACATGTACTCAGGTATTAATACATGTCTCCATGTATCGATACATGAAATTCTGAAATTCTGGTTGTTTTAGGTATATACATGTCGATACATGTATCCATGTATTGATATATGAATACATTGATTGATACATTGATATATGTATTAATACATATACTGATAAAACAGTACACGTAAATGTATACCTGTTCAGATCTACATGTATAAAATGTGGATACAAGTTGTATCTGTATCCACGCACCCCTCGTGGCTCGAGAGATTCATAGAGGTTGAGAGAGATTGTCTCGGTGGAATTGCATTCAGGTAGCCCTGTGACAGCTAACGTCACTAAACTTTCTATGGTACTTCCATAGACCCAAGCAGAAGGTTGAGAGGGGCTTGGAGCCACCATAGGTGGGCTGGGTGAACCCTCACCCAAGCCACAATATATAGCAATTTTCACTGATTTCTGAGGAAATTTTGAGAGTTCTGACCGATTTGTACAGTCTCCATCTATTACTATCTATTTACGGTTGGTGTGCATGTGGCACAAAGGAGCGGAGATGAATAAAAAGCACGGCACGCACACTCTCAAAATAGCGTCCGAATGGGATTTCTAAAACAGAGATGGAGTTGAAGTGGACCTGTATTAAACTACATTTAAATTAGAGTTGCAGCGGGATTCTTACACTAGCAGTAAATCTGAAGTGGAGTGAGCATGTGCTATCTGAATGGGTTTGTAGCAGGATTTCCAAAATACAGGTGTAGTTGCAGTTGCAGCGGAATTTTTATACTACGAGTGGATCTCGAGAGAAGTTGCATTGATACATAGCCGCACTGGCGACACTCAAATATGCACGCCGGGATATGTAGCGGTGATAGAGGCAAAGCTTCCAAACATACCCCTGTCTATATCCTCTGTCGTTTTCTAAGTTGGCAGGTATTCATTATGGACGTTTCTGAACCACCTTCGGGTACCTTCGCTAGTATTTTATATTAGTTCTATAGCATCTGCAACATCCCTGATATACGATATACGAGATATGTCACACCTCTCAAGATTTACCTGCAAGAAGAACAACATATAATCGAGTTTTATATTTTTG